AAATGGGAGTGGTGGGTACTAGAGTAAATGATCTCTAAGGTCTCAAGCAAAATTTAGACTTTTAAAATAAATTCAAACTATCACCTCCAAGTAGTTGGAGATATTGGGGCTTGAGGAGGGGAACCACATTGAAAGTTGTGACTGATTTAACTGAATCTAAGATGCCATCAATTATAAGACTCATCATATTTTTGAAAGAAAATATCACTGCCAACTAAACTATGACACATCCACTGTAAAATGCATTCTAAATTTTTTTTTTTTGGTGAGGAAGACTGGCCCTGAGTTCACATCTGTTGCCAATCTTCCTCTTTTTGCTTGAGGAAGACTGTCTCTGAGCTAACATCTGGACCAATCTTCTTCTATTTTGTATGTGGGTCACCACCACAGCATGGCTTGATGAGCAGTGCATAGGTTAGTGCCTGGGATTCGAACCTGTGAGCCCCAGGCCACCAAAGTAGAGCCCATACGAACTTAACCATTATGCCACTGGGCAGGCCCCATGCATAGAATGCATGCCCCATGCATAAAAATTAGAAATTTTTAAAATGTTAAAATGTGGGAAGGAATATCTTAGTATTAATGAACTACAGTATTACCTAGCACACCTTGGCCCCACCTCCCTGTGACAGGGAGATGGGTTTCTATTCACAGTGACCTGTTAAGACTTTCATACGGCAACACCAACCCTTCTCCCAACTCATTTACTTCACAGTTAAAACATTTAGATCCTTCCTGACTCAGCAGTGGAGTGTATCTGCACCCAAAGTTCCTGTCAGTGTCTATGATCTCCATTGCTCTCCCACTCAATGCTCAGCAAAAACTCAGTTGAGAGAAATCGTGTTTTCAGGGCTGCCTGCAGGATACGCAGCCCATCCATTTTTCTCTACTCTGTTAACCCTTGGATTGAGCCAGGTCAGCAGAAAGCAAAGTACTGGAAACAAAGAGGTAATCCCTCATGGAAAGGCCTGCACGGACTCTCTCTCTGGCATCCTGCCTTCAGCCCACATCGGAGACACTGTCAGGAATGACCCGAGTTGTACTGCATCTGTTGTCGAGGACAGAGCATCCGCTTCATAAGGACCCACTGGAGCCATTTTTTTTCAGGTCTTCATACCAGGAATTTCCTAAACTTTTGAAATTAAACTATGACATATGAACAGAAAAGCACACCATTCTTAAGCGTATAGCTGAATGAATTATCACAAATTAAAACTGCTGCTCAAATGAAAAAAAAATAAAACATTACCAGCATCTCAGAAGACCCCTCCTGACTACTCACCATCACCCACCCTCTTCCCCAAAGGCAACCCTTGGCCTGACTCCTAGCACCATAGTTTTCTCTGTTTTTGAAACTCACATGAATGGAATCATACAATATGTACTCTTTTAGTCTGGCTTCTTTCACTTATCAGTATGTCTGTGAAATTCATCCATGTTGTTATGAGTAGAAGTAGGGTGTTAATTTTCGTTCCTGTGATTTTCATTGTATAGTAGTCCATTGTATGCATATACCACAAAGGATTTGCTTAGATTGTTTCCGGTTTGGGCTTACTATGAATAATGCTGCCATTCTGGCGCCCTGAGTAAGCATTTCTGTGCAGTATCCACCTGAGAGTCAGATGGCTGGGTTATGGGGCATGCACATGTTCAGCTTTCATAGCTATTTCAAAACAGTTTTCCACTTTACGTTCCAACCAGCAGTGCATGAGAGTTTCAGTTGCTCCACATTTTCACCGACACTCATCGCTGTCAGTCTTTTTCTTTTTAGCCATTTTGATAGGTGTGTAGTAACATCTTATGGTGGTCTTAATTCTCATTTCCCAAATTCTCATTTGCAGATTCTCTTTTGTGAAGTATTTATTCGAATATTTTGTCATCTTTTCTATTAGATTCCATGTCTTTTTCTAATTGATTTACAGTTCTTTAACTATACTTGGGTTGGATCTTCTGTCAATTATATGTACTGCCAAACATTGCGACTTTTTGTATACTTTTTAAGAATATATTTTTCTATTTTTTTCTTCTTGAAGCTTTATCATTTGCCTTTCACTTTAAAATCAACAATTCGCCTGTGATTGATATTGTGCATGGTGTGAAGTAAGGATCCAGATTCACTTTTTCTCATATGGACATGCAACTGACCTGGCACCATTTATTGAAAAGAGCATCCTTTCCCCATTGTTCTGCAGTGGCACCTTTGTCATAAATCCAGTGTCCATATATGAGAAGGTCTGTTCTGGACTCTCTAGTCTGTCCCATTGGTCTATCTGACTATTCCTGTGCCAATACTCCATTTCCTTAATTACTGTACCTTTATATTAAGATTTGATGTCTGGTTAAAAGCATCCCATTTGCAACAACACGGATGGAACTTGAGGGTATTATGTTAAGTGAAATAGCCAGACAGAGAAAGACAAACATCAAATGATTTCAGTCATATGTGAAAGATAAACAAACACAGGGATAAAGGACAGATTAGTGGTTACCAGAGGAGAAGGGGAATGGGAGGGTGGGAGAAAGGGCTAAAGGGGCACATATGTATGGTGATGGATAAAAATTAGACTATTGGTGGTGAGCACAATGCTGTCTATACAGAAACTGATAATGTATAATAATGTACACCTGAAATTACACAATGTTATAAACCAATATGACCTCAATAATTTTTTTTTTTTATAGATTGGCACCTGAGCTGACAAGTGTTGCCAATCTTTTTTTTTTTCTCCTTTGTCTCCCCAAATCTTCCCAGTAAATAGGTGTATATATATATATATATTTTTTCAGTTGTGGGTCCTTCTAGTTGTGGCATGTGGGACGCCACCTCAGCGTTGCCTGAAGAGCGGTGCCATGTCTGCACCCGGGATCCGAACCAAAGAAACCCTGGGCCACTGAAGCGGAGCATGTGAACTTAACCACTCAGCCATGGGGCCGGCCCCCTCAATAAAATAATTTTAAAAAAAGATTTGATGTCTGGTGGAGTAAGTCCTCCAACTTTGCTCTACTACAAAGTTATTAGCTTTCTTGGCCCTTTGCATTTACATAAAATATCTTAAAATCAACTTGTTAATTATCATTTTTACAAAATCTGCTGGGATTCTGATTGGGATTACACTGAATCTATAGATCAACTTGGGGAGAACTGCCTTCTTTACAATATTGAGCCTTCCAATCCATAAACGTGACATCTCTCTCTTATTTAGGTCTTATTTAACTTCTCTCAATGTTTTATAGTTTCTTTTTTTTCTTTTGTGTAGGTATTGCACATCTTTCATTTTTTCCCTAAATATTGGAATGTTTTGATGCTATAGTGAATGGTATTTTTAAAACTTCTATTGTAATTGTTTATTGGGAACTGGTTTGCTTTTTTTGTTGTTTTTCTTTTTAAAGATTTTATTTTTTCCTTTTTCTCCCCAAAGACCCCCAGTACATAGTTGTATATTCTTCGTTGTGGGTCCTTCTAGTTGTGGCATGTGGGACGCTGCCTCACCGTGGTTTGGTGAGCAGTGACATGTCCGCGCCCAGGATTCGAACCAACGAAACACTGCACCGCCTGCAGCGGAACACATGAACTTAACCACTCGACCACGGGGCCAGCCCCAGAACTGGTTTGTTTTTAATCTCATGAATACTGAATTGAATTACTCACTGTTTCCCTACCTGATGTTCCATGAAACATCACCCCACTTGCTGAAGTGGTCTGTTACACATGCTGGGAAAAGTTGGGTTAAACACTTCTGCAGGACTCCTACAGCCTTTAACGTGCTAAGACAATGTTCCTCAAACTTACGTGGCTACACTTATTCAATACCATAGTCAGGTATCATTCAGGATAAAAGTGTAGAAAACAGCAATTACTCCAGGTGTTTTCTGGAGCAACTTCTGGTGTTTTAATTATAGGGAATTAGGTGCTTACAAAAACCACCGGGGGCTGCAAGAGCAGGTGCTTGGCTAAGCTTCCAGGAATGACTCCCAGTGACTGCAGAATGGACCCTCCCAAGGGAGGCACTACCAGTGAGACCACCCCTGGAGCTACTCAGCCCACAAACCCTTTATTCTTGTTGCCCCAACTACAACTGCCTCTCAATACCAGGGAAGTTGAACACTTGGTGTGCCAATGCCCCAAACCCTCACATTTCCATGACCTCGCTTGCCACCACAAAATAACAAAAAACCCCACAAAGAACAGTTGAAAACAGTCTCCATGCTTTCACCCTCCAAATCTCTCTCAAGTACCTGTGAAAGGTGAAACAAGTTTTGCACCCAGGACCATAAGCTACAGTTCTCTGCAGAATAAGATGGAAACATAGAAGGAGGGGGAACACAGACTGAGCTCTCTGAGTGACAGGATCCAGCACAACTTATCAAGTGCCTGGTGCATGTGCCAGGGACCTTTCCAGGCAGAGAACACATCTGTGAACTTGCAGTCTAGTAAGAAAGGCAGGTGGTAAACAAGTTCATGTGAGTACCTGCTCCACATCTCCGATAGAATCGTTCTAACCATCTCTCAAAACTAGTGTCTATGAAACACAATGTGGTCATGTTTCCCTCACGGACCTGAAGGTAAGCACCAAATTTGTGCTTCACGTCTATCAATTACATACGACGTTACGGCAGGCATTTTCCATATTAACTTTACCTTCATCTCATTCTTTCTCACTCATACTTTCCCTATGTTCCTAGTTCCTGATGGACTTTTTATCATAATGCACTATGTAGGTCTGTAAGGTATCCCAAATCTTCCTCTTTGAAAAAGGACAGATATAAACGAATCAGCTGTCTGTGTGAGACCCCAGTGTTCACTCATGAGGAGTGAGCCCACTCACAACTTCCTACTCCTATCATTTTTTGCTAGCTTCACAAATTTGATAAAGTACAAATGTAAAACAGAAGCATGCCTTTCATTTCTGGTTTCACTTTGGTAACCAAAAGACTAATGGGAAGATTAAAGTTGGAGCAACATGCTCCTTGGATAAAAAATTAATAACATGCTTTACAGCATTTTATGATAATAGGCTTTATTAATGTGGAACAATTAATACTAGCCATAAAAATATATAATTAAATGTGTTATTATTACAAATTAAAATTTATTCCCTACATTGCCATTTAATTGGAAAAAAACAACAATAAAACTTGCCACCTTACAATCAATTTGAAATAATTTGTTCAGGAACAACAATATAAAAAGAAAATGTAGGCTGGAATGTATTACATTTGGCCAAACAAAAAGGTTTGATCTATTCTGGCTCATAAAGCAAGATAATTATTGTTTATGATTTTGAAAACTCACTGAAACTTTTTCCTTGAACTGGTTCCTTTGAAATGCATTTTCTTGAGTTCTACCAACGACTGCCACAGTAAGAGTCCTGGGATCAGGACCCACACACTATTGAAAAATACCAGATAGACCCAAAAGTAGAGCCAGTTGTTGGTGTTGAGGTTGGGGCTTCCCATAAGCCAGTCTGGGGCGAAGGTCATCCACCCGCCATACAGTTCACACACGCACAGGGTAATCTGGATGAAATGCCTGTTAGAGAGAAAGAAACAGGGGATGAAACTGCCAGCCGGGCACAGTGTGGCACCCTGAGTCACGACATCTTTTCTTTAATGGCAGCATCAACACAGTCTTCCAAGGTGGAAAACCTCTCCGAAGTTGGACCTCAGGTTTCACGTAGCGCCCCTTTGAGGGGGCAGGCCAATCTAATTAACGGAGACCCATGCTTTCCTGGGAGGAGCACCACTACCCTTTCTAGAAGATTATTCTCAGAGTTAAATAGGTCTCTCAGGTGTCCTGTCCTAGTCTTAGGAAGATTTTACTGAGGTCACCCCTGACCTAGCACACAGACCTGAATGTGAATCTTGCTACAAGCTGCAATTTCACTAGTTGTCAAAGGAGATAACAATAATAGTCCTTTTCTCAAATAATATTGTGCAGATTCAATGAGATAGGTAGATAAAGGGCTGAGCGCTGTGCCTGGCACATAGTAAGTATTCAACAATACAGATATTATCAGTGTTTGAAACAATCAACAGATGGGTGCATGTAGTAAGTCTGCAATCAAGATCATGGAGTCAAAGATACATAAAGGCACCAGGGAGACATTTAATTTTTCTTGCCAACTATCTATGTGAAATTGTGGGGAGGGGATTGGATTAAATGACCTTCAAGGTCTCTTTCAAATCTGAAATTTTGTGATGAAGCCTTACACAAGACTTCTTCAATACAAGATGGTGGAAAATTGAATGCAATTGTGCCTACTCCACATTGTTTCATGGAGTCATCCCCAGCGTGGCAATCCACTTGCCCGGGTCACGTGTCCGCAAGGAGAGGAAGGAAAAGGGAGGGTGGTGTGATCAAGTCTCAGAGTCTGACTGGTGGAGGGTTAGTCTTCCATCTTTCTCCACCTCCTCTGCTTCTGCCTTCTTTGTACCCTCCACAACATGCTGCTGAAAAGGTTCCTGACTTATCTTGTACGTCTAACTCAGAATTACATAAAGGATTTACTTTGTGTCAGGTGGAATAGGCATTTTCTAGAGTGAGTTGGGGAAAAAAAGGATGGAAATGTTACCTTTTTATTCTCCAAAAATATTGGTGGCAAACCATCCAATGCTGTTAACATTGTGCTTACCTCTCCAGTGACTAGGTTGTTACTACAGTCACTTTTCTCACATTTTTTATTTTGAACAGTCTGAAATTATCCTGGTGGCACCAAGATCCTTATCTAACATCAAACAATTTTCATTTCTACTCTGCTTTTCACCTAATAAAGAAATGTGATCTAATCTACTCCAAATGTCACTTAGGTGTTGGGACAGCTAATGCCTCTCCTTTTTCAGTGGGACAGGAGAAGACACTTACCGGTAATATTTCTCTTTGACTATGGCATAAATGAGGACCAATGCCAGAGACCCATCCACGACAACGGTCAACATTTCCAGAGACACAATGGTTGGATCAAAATAAAGCCATCTTGCATCAGCTTTGCCATATTCTTTCCCTAAAAACAAAATACATTTCGTCACTCATCTGGCAATCATTTTTATGACAGTCAAGGGAAATGACCTTTTTTCCCTTACAGAGGAGATAAGCAGAACTGCCATTCTCTCCACATTCTTCATCACGCCTCAGTGGAAGGCAAGAGAAACCCCGAGACTAAAACGCATTTGCCACCTGACACAAGTAACAACAGTATCGTGTTATATTTGTAAAGTAATTTACAGTTTCCAAGGTGCTTTCACATATGCACCCTCTTCGCCCTGTCCCTTTTCATTATCAGCAGCAGAATTCTAAGTTAATGTGGCAGAGTCAGATTTTGCAAAGACGATCTTTAATTATTACCTTGGTAAATGCCTCATAGTTCCTTACTTCAAAATTTCAGTATAAAGTCTGTAAGTATAATTGAGATGCGGGAAAATTGTTTTAAAGGAAATGTTTATAAAAAACACAAGTTTATGAATAATTGAAGAGAAACTGAGTGCTGACGGGGCAGCAGGAGGGGAATGATAATGACACAGCCTAGACTCTACAACGAATCCAAAATGGACAGAGGGGGTGCCTCAGTCTGCTACGGGGACAGGATTCACCAACAACAGCCACCACACAAAGCCTCAGTTGTGCTGACCAGGGAGCGCGTAAGCCCTAAGAAATCTTTCCAGATCCCATTATCGGGAAGGTTTCTTCTAGAAAGCACCATGAGGCCAGAAAATCCTTTTAGAGCTGGACTGAGAGGTAGGCACTGGGTGAAGACATTCCCTCCCTCCCTCCCTCCTTCTCTCTTTTCCTTCCTCCCTTCATCTCTCCTCTCCTCTCTTCCTCCCTCCCCGCCTTCCCCCCCACCCCCACTTCCTTCCTCCTTCCCTCCCTCCCTCTTTCTTTTTTAATTTATCAAAGTAATACATGCAGGTCCTAAGATCTCAAATCATCAAAGTAAAAAAAACCCCACCTCTTCTCTCTCTTTAACCACTGTTCTCATATTATTTAGAAAAGGTATGAATGATCAAAAATCAGCTATGTCATGATTGGTCTGAGCAGCACAAAGCTCCAGTCTCTTAATGGCCAGAGTCAGGATCCCTTGGAGCTGGGACAAAGGGTTCTAATGAAAGGCTGTCCTGAGAGAAAGGACGGCCAGTAAACAGGATTAGCTATTTAATGAGATAACACACAGACACAGGCTGAGAGGAGACTCTGAAAGGCCAGACACAACGAGCAGACCAGGCAGATCTGTCCAGCCTGGCCTTAGCTGACTGCCAGCCATGAACTAACTGGAAAACAACATAATAGTGAAAGTAACAGTTTTTCCTTTATATTTAAACATATATACAATAGGTGAAACATACCATCTAGTGCATCCAAAATCTAAAGCAATGTCACTTAAATAAAATGCCACTGCTTTCGGGACGAAGAGATTAGTAGCTGTTTAGACATTCACAAAAAACACAAATCTTTTGGAGCACATGGAAGGCTCTGTGCTTGGCCTTAAGAATGCGGCAGATACTAGCACACAAACTCTGCCCACAAGTGGTGCACATTCTATGAGGTCAAACCACGCAATAAGTGATGTGACAGAGTATGGGGACATGAAGGAAGTGGCACTTAAGCCAGACGAGGAAGAGGAGGTGTTGTTGGTGAGAGTGGGATTCCTGCCTGAGTTATGGGGAGGGCCCTCCACACAACGAGCGTCATTGGACAGATGAGGCTGAGGGCAGTTCATTAGTCACCCACGCTCACAGCCTGGAGGAGGAGGCCAGTGTGCCACACAGGGCGGTTGCACTGGAAGTGGAGTGAACAAGGAGGAGCTGTGGGAGGCAGGGCTGGTAGTAACAAGAGGAGAGGGTGAGCCCTGGTTCCCTATGCAGGCACTGGGCCTGGTCCCCGCCGTGAGGAGGGTTGTTTGCCTGGGGACCTTACAGGTTGAAGCGGAGTGGGGAGGGGACTAGCAGTTAGCCCTTTGAGCCCTCTGGATTTCACCAGATGTCAAGGCACACAGAATATTGGATCTTCATTTGAGGCCTTACAGCACAAGAGGTGCCCTGAGCAGGGTGAAGGAGAAGGGTGTTTCAGGGAGGAGCATGTGCAAAGGCCTGGAGCTGAGAGAACATGGAATGTCTGAAACTACATTTAATTCAGTCAAGCTGAAGAAGACAGTGTGTGTGTGTGTGTGGGGGGGGGGGGGGCAAGGTTAATGCTGGAGAGGAAGGCGGGGAGGATGGGAAAAGCAGGCCGGCCACCCACAGGTCCCAGGGCATCACGCCTCTGGCATCCTCTGCTGCTTAACCTTGACCATCTCTTTGCTGGTTAAACACCTAGTCAGCAAAAGGACAAACAGAGCACCAATAAGCCTAAGGACGTGACCGTTATCATTTATTTTGTGACTGACTGCCAGGCGTAGACAGAGGTTTAGAAGGAAAGACGCACACCAAGGGCTGGAGCAGCAGAGCCACAGCTGTGCCACGGAGGAGATTAGGGGATGGGAAGGGCAACAACAACTTTCTTCTTGACGGAGCTCGAGTCAGGCTCTTCTGAGCCCTCTTCTTGACAAGGCCTCAGCCTTGGGGTGTGTCCTTGGCCTGCTCAGTCCAGTTTTAGCAAGAATCCTGCTGAGTCAGTTTAGCAAAAGTCCCCCATTCTTGGTATCTTATCAGCCTTTTTCTCCCCTGGCTTTATCGAGACATCATTGACGTACGGCATTGTGTAAGTTTAAGGTGTACGGCATAATGACTTCACTTACACATAGCATGAAACGATGACCACAGTAAAGTCTAGTTGATATCCATCATCTCATATAAACACAAAAAAATAAGATAAAAAAATTGGTTTTTTTCCTTGTGATGAGAACTCTTAGGATTTACTCTCTTAACAACTTACAGCAGTGTTAACTATAGTCATCATGTTGTACATTACATTCCCAGTACTTATTTATCTTGTAACTGGAAATTCGTAGCTTTTGACCACCTTCATTCAATTACCCCGCCCTCTGCCACCTCTGGTAACCACAAATAAGATTTCTGTTTCTTTGAGTTTAGGTTGTTTCTTTGTTTAAGATTCCACATATAAGGGAGATTATACAGTATTTGTCTTTCTCTGTCTAGCTTATCTCACCTAGCGTAATGCCCTCAAGGTCCATGCATGGTGTCACAAATGACAGGATTTCCTTCTTTTTAATGACTGAATAATATTCCATTGTGTGTATATATATATATATATATATACACCACAACTTCTTTATCCATTCATTTGTCGATGGACACTTAGGTTATTTCCATGTCTTGGCTATTGTAAATAATGCTGCTATGAACGTGGGGGTGCAGACATCTGATCACTTTTGATATTTGATCAAATTCCTCCTCGCCCACCCTCTCCATCTTATCACCTGGCCTGCCTTCAGCAAGAATCCTACTCAGTTGCTCTATCAAGAATCCCTGTAGTCTTGATGTTTCTTCTTAGTAATTTTCCATCCACTGACCCCTACCTGGCTCCTTGGCTGTAAATCCCCACTTGTCGTCGTTGCTTTTAGAGTTGAGCCTGATCTCTCTTCCCTACTGCAAGACCCCTATTGCAACTGGTTCCTCTTTAAAAATTAAAGAATAATTTTTCTTTAATGGGGTCTACATAATGTTTGTAGCCCAGCTCTATATCCTGGTGAATCAAAGGACGGGCCACCGATTAACATGTGGGAGGTCTTAACCCAGACCCTCTGAATCAGCATCTGTAGTTTAACAAGAGCCCCAGGCAATTCTGTGCACATTAAAATCCGAAAAGCACTGCCTTATATTTTTTACATCATGGATTTTCACTTTTGTGAGAATAAAGGGCACCTCTATTAAATGAGTTTCCACTTTTTGTAAGGTGAAAATGTAAATTGAAGATGACGGATAAAGATCATGTTACACATTTGCATTTCACGGGTCTGAGCCAAATCTGGGCTGTTCCCTTTCTCTGATGCCAGGCAGGGCCACCAGGACAGAAGGACAATGACTTGGGCTGGGTCCTTCAGCCCCCGGGCTTCCCCGGCAGTTCTCAAGCACAGTTTAATCCAGCCTAATGACCAGAAAGGGCTCGGCTGTGTTTCACTCAGACCCTGGAACTGAAGGAGTGGGATTCCAGGTGCGGGGGCGCAGGCTCCCTGAGCGACACTGGAGAGGACCTGAGAGGCATCAGAGAGGACACATGTTTTGCTCTGAGAAGCACTAAACTGTAGCTGACTCAATTCTCTAGAAGTTTCCTAACACTAGTGGTGAACAGCTGTCCCAACACAGATCCTGGCTGGAGGATATGATTTCAGAATCACGGGAAAAAGGTGATGAACAATGCAGAATTTCAGACACAAAGTCTGAAGAAGTTATCCTGTGCAAGGCAGTTCTATGAGAGTGGCAAAGGACCCTGTTGTTGCACAGCTCATCTATTTGTCAAAATTCACATACGACCTGGGAGGGCGTTGATACTGACTGACTGAATGTTGATTGATTTACAGTGAGCATGAAGAAGATAGGGAAAACTAGTGAATACCTCCGCAAAGCAGGGAGATTTTTGGAAATTATCTACAAGACTACAGATATATATATATATATATATATATATATATATATATATATATATAATAGATACGCAAATATATATATATACACACACAAGAAGAAAATTAGTATTAAATGTATGAACACTCAGCTTAAATATTGCAAGCTCTTCAATCTGCACTCACTGCAAACATTTTTTAATATACAGTTTTACTGAGATATAATTCACGTGCCATATAACTCATCCATTTAAAGTGTACAATTCTACATATTCTTTTAGTATATTTACAGATTGGAGTCACCACCATCTAATTCGAGAACATTTCATTACCCCCCAAAAGAAACCCATACCCATTGTCAGTCACTCCCATCTCCCATTTCCCCCACCCCTCCCCCCATGATCCTAGTCAATCACTAATCTATAATCCGTCTCTATAGAGTCATCTATTCTGGACATTTCATATCAATGAAATAATGCAATACGTGATACAGGCACTCATTTAATTGACTTGCAATTAATCTCAAACATTTTAAATGCAAATGTTTTAAATTACTTACACAATGAAGCAATCAAGCCATCAGAATCTGCAATGTTCCCTACCAAAGACAAGTAGACGAAAGGGCCTTCCTGAGAGAAGAAAAGGAAAATACGCTCTAATTTCGCATCACAACCACAGGATGGCACCGCGGAGACGTGGCATTGCCTGGCAGCATTCCCCAGGAGCCTACACCCCAGTCAGTGCACCTGACCCGAAGACTGCACCTACACAGCCCTGTGGGGTGCGATCCTGGAGCCCGGCTCCCAGGTCTTGGAAATAACTATGTCCAAAGTGAATGTTTATATAGTAAATGCTGTTTTTCAATGATTGGCATTATTAAATCAGAGCTGTGTTCTTACGGGGAAAAGATAAGTTGAAAATTTTGCACAAGGAAAGAGCTTAAATGTTATATTAAATAGGCTAAATTCTGGAGTATGCCAGGCATTTTCCACCTGTGAGAAGTACCTCACAGCAGTTTATTTTGTCTCACCTCAAAAAAAATCCAAGCTCTTTCTTAACAAAAGTGATATTCACCTATCAGAGTTGAATTAATTCTTTTTCCTGCATCAGGGCAAATTTCAGAAAATTAAAAAAGCTTACAGGCTACATTTTTTTTTCTGGAGGGTTTTATAAAGGGGTTTTTTTTGGTGAAGAAAATTGGCCCTGAGCTAACATCTGTTGCCAATCTTTCTTTTTTGTTTTTTCTCCCCAAATCCCCAGTACATAGCTGTATATCCCAGTTGTAAGGCATTCTAGTTCTTCTACGGGGGACGCCACCACAGCATGGCTTGATGAGCAGTGGGTAGGTCTGTGCCCAGGATCTGAACCGGCAAACCCCAGGCTGCTGAAGTGGAGCGTGCAAACTTAACCACTCAGCCGTGGGGCCAGCCCCTACAGGCTACATGTTAAATTTTCGGCAGTGAAATATCTGTAGTTACATTTAGTATTTTCTCATCACTAAATTTCAAAAACTAATTAACTAGAGTTCACTAGGATATCTGACTGTCATGTCACTCCTCTGAACAAATTTTGCTGCCAGTCAATACAACTTTTTTTCTCATTTTTTTTTTACCAAAGCAATTGCTTATATGACATTAAAATTGTGTCTCTGCCTCATCTCCCTCACTTTTAGTACCATTTCCCAGAGGTTGCTACTTAGAATCACTGTCTTAGTTCTGGGGATTATCTTCATAACTCATAATATACTTAGACTGCTATTTCTGTAGACATTATAATTAACTGTGCATCCTGAAAAATTATGATTTAATTTATACTGCTTCCTCTCCCCTTCCCAGTCCTTCCAGTTTTTGATAGTGTAGAGGAGGAAAACCTTCCTTCTACCCTCTTATACTCTGTAGCCAGAACCTTAAGATTCTGGCATAAGAAATAACTGACATAAGACAGAAGACAAGCATACAAATTTTATTTAACGTTTTTACATGTACACAGGAGTCTTGAAAGGAAAACAAACACCTGAAGAAGCTGTTAGGCCCAAAAGCTTATATACATTTTACGCAAAGAACGATAAATTAAGGGGATGTGACAAGACAAAGGGACTTGGGTTAGGGACAGTAAATTGTGGGAAAGTGACTAAGAACCCTATGGGGGAAACTAATGGAAGAGTTATTTCAGTAGGTTTGCTTGTACAGGTCCATTTTGGCACTGAGGCCCAGGCTCTGGCGATAAGAATCTTCCTGTCTTCCTGGTATAGGCAGGGCACTTTTCCCACGGGAACTTAATGACTTGATTTTAGGAAGAAAGGGGGAGGTCAGAGAACTCTTCCTGCACCTGCTGCTTCTCAAGTGCTTTCGGCTCAAAATAACAAATATGCCAAAGTGGCATATTTTGGAGTGGCATGCTCTGAACCCCTTCAAATAGCTAGAGTATATTATTCTCTTTAATTCTATTAGTTACCCAATCTAGTTACCCAAATTTGTAACTCAGGTAATAAACTTAAAACCTCAGCTTACTCACGCATCAATGCGGTGCAGCATTTGGACTTCTTGTCATATAGGAAGAGTGTGACAGCCCCACCGAGCTCTCTCTCTCCCCCACCATTCCCACCTCTCAACTTCTCCACTTTGCTTCTACATTGTTGGGACTGATTACACTTCCATTCTTGTTCCGTAAATATATTCCTCTTACCTATTTTATCTGTAAGTGGATTTTAACGTTGAAAAGCCAGTCAACAGCATTTAAAACATGGTGATTTACGTAAATATCGTTCACTGCAATAGGCCACAACTTCTTTTTTTACAGACCCAGTATTTTGACTCTTGTTTCATTTAAGGAGAAGGTGGCAAATGGAATATTCTTTCTTACATCCCTAAATTTCTCAAAATCATGCTATATTTTAGTTTGCTTTGTATTCGGGGCTGTGACTTTAAGACATTCTTGTTTCTGCTACAGTTGGTAATCACCTTTCTTTTCCTCTGATTGAGAGAAGAAACCTGACTTTCTCCACATCTCATTAATACCTTTCAGCTTCTTATCCATTCCAAGCTCTGTTGAATAGAGGTTTTGAAGCTGGCTTATTTTGTCTTTTCTTGACACTTTGTAAGTTACTTAACTGGTAAATGTGGTTCATCTCAGAGTATATGTAAAAATTCTATTCTTTAAAGGAGATTTTTAAAAATTACATATGAGATAAATAGCAATGTTTTAAAATAAGAAGTACTTCCAGTCCACTTTGTGATTCTTTATTTTCACCAATTGATTTTTTATTTTTAGCAGAGCCATAGGAAATCCAGACCACTTCCCTGACTTGGCCTGGGAACTTTCTAGACAAAATACATCCACTGGAATGGCCAGTAGAGGCAATGGGACTGGGTTGAATTTGACCCTCTCTAGGCCTCAGTCCATCTATCTGTAAGATGAAGGACTTCCTAAAATTAGATGGTGGATCTCATCCTAAAACTAGATGTGACTTCCTCTAGCAACCTCTTCAACTGGAGCCATAAGCAAAACATGGACTCTGACCTTAGGTCCAGGATCTTTCATCAGAAGCAACTCTGCGGATAAGAGGAAGATGGGGACCCGACATTCAACAACATGCAGGGACCTATGAGCATATAACAGATTGGTTCCCTTTTACATCCACCTGTTGAAGTTCTAGTCCTTTTTCAAATCCCAGCTGAAACCCTCCTTCTTCCAAGAAACCTCCCCAAACCTTCTACTGAGGATTAACTTCTCACTCTCCCTTGTTACTAAATTTGTGTTCTGTAATCAACTGTCTGCTGGTTATGGAGGTTCAATGCCCATTGGATCACATATCTCTGGGGTCTGGGATGTTGTCTTCTCTCTCGTAATCCTCAAGAACTCAGGATGGTATTTTGTGCTGAGTATTTGCTAACTGTGAATTAATGATAAGTTCACATAATGAATTCCTTTTAGCTACCATGAATAACGCTGCTATGAATACTGGAGTGCAGGTATCTGTCTGAGTCCCTAGTTTCAATTTCTTTGGGTATTTATGTTGAAGTGGAATTGCTGGATCATATGGTAATTCTACGTTTTGCTTTTTGAGGAACCTCACACCATTTTCCACAGAGGCGGCATCGTTTTACATTCTCACCAGCAGGACACTGTGTTCCAAGTTTCTCCACATGCTTGTCAAGACTTGTTATTTTCCCTTGTTGTTGTTGTTGTTTTTTACAATAGCCATCCTAATGAGAGTAAAGTGGTGTCTCATTGTGGTTTTGATTTGCATTTCCCTAATGACTACTGATGCTGAGCATCTTTTCATGTTCTTATCGGCCATTTGTATATCTTCTGTGGACAAATGTCTATTAAAGCCGTTTGCTCATTTTCTAATTGTTTGTTTCTTGTTGTTAAGAATATAAAAATTTGCGGTGGAGTTATCACCCCTTGGTACTTGAACTCAATGGCTAGACTGCTGCATGGGCAAGATTAATCAATAATTCTGCTGAAGTCAAGACATTTGGTAAAGCAGAGTAGGGGCTACTATCAAAGACTCTGAGAGCAAGCCCTGTCACTCCATCAGGGGAGCAAGGGGTCTGCAGGGAATCTTGAGTGCCTTTACTCTCTTGTCACCTGGGGACTTCTTTTCAGTCTTTTAAGCCCCAGTGACTCCTTCTCTCCCCGGTGCTACCTCTAGACCTGGACCCAATCCTGCCACTCACTGACCAGTCTGCATGATAACGATTTGTTTCCCTGTCCATTTCCCCCACTAGCAAAGCTCCTCAGCATCAGGACCATGTGTTGATTACATGCAATAAACACAGAACACACGGATGGTGAGCGTTAACAGCCAACCCTAGACTGAATCTCCAGACTTTGCACAGCTATCCTTAAATCATGCGGTATTGGCTGGGTCTCCTAATTTCTTTGTCCTCAGTTTTTTCTTAGCTATAGCAGAGGTGAAATGGGTTCAGACACACGGTTGCAAAGATCCTTGGCCGAAACATTTTCAACATGGAGGAAATACCCTTATGTAACAGGAGAAATAGGATCATCACAGACTTGGGGTAGGTCTGGAGGGTCAGTGTAGACCGGTATGGTACAGTGGTTCTTCATAGGGACATTGCCCTTGTGTTTTACGTAAAAAGGTAGTCAAACAGATACACAAACACACGCGTTTCCTTCACAAAGTAAGCTCTGTACCATTAGCAACCATTTGATTCTTCCCTCAAGACAACTCTAAGGGCTTGTAACCTTTCCTTACACCATTGAGTCTCAACGTGCCCCACAACAGGAAAGACATCAGATTAAAGTCAGGAAAAGAACAGAGTGAAAGTGGTGAGTGTGTCAATATCATGGTTTCAGGGAACTAAGTCTCCATCCCTGGAGGGTTCTGTGATTCCTAGACTGGCCTGATCTTATCCTAAAGGAACTCACCACAAGAAATGTAAATTGACAAACACAGGCCCACCAGTCTAGGCTGCACTGTCTGCAGTTGAATCTCCATCAGTAACAGACTCAATGCAAAACTGAGCAAATTAGGTGCAGGGGGCAGAGGCCTCAGCTTCAGAATGAGACCAACTGTTATGGGCCTAAAGATTCTTTGGGGGCTTCTGAACCAAATCTGTTCTAACCAGACAGAGACCTAAGATCAAAGTCATGAAAACAT